AACTGGGGGTGTCATTTGTGAGCTGAGAAGCAAAAGGAAGTACAGTATTAGTTGTGCCAAAGGGACCAGGCTGGGTCACCATTTTCCAGTCCTCTTTAAAGGCTATCCTACTGATCATAGTGCTATACAGTATATCACAGAAGTGAGTACACCCCCTCATATTTTATAAATATTTTAGTATATCTTTTTCATGTGACAACACTGAAGAAATGATACTTGGCTACAATGGAAAGCAGTGAGTATACAGCTTGTATAACAGTGTAAATGTGCTGTTCCCTCAAAATAACGCAACAAACAGCCATTAATGTCTAATCTGCTGGAAACAAAACTGAGTACACCCCTAAGTAACAATGTCCAAACTGGGCCCAAGTAGCCATTTTCCCTCCCTGGTGTCATGAGACCCGTTAGTGTCACAAGTCTCAGATGTGAAGGATAAGCAGGTGTTATCGCTCTCACTGTCTCAGACTGGTCACTGGAAGTTCCACCTGGCACCTCATAGTAATGAACTATCTGAGCATTTGAAAAAACAAATTGTTGCTCTACATAAAGATGGCCTAGGCCAGTGGTAGCAAACCTTTTTGGGCTTATGTGGGGGGGGGGGGGACAGTGGATGGTGTGCCGCCACAGTGACGGTGGTGGACACAGAACTGGAAGTGCAGACCCGGAACTGGAAGTGGCAGTGGAAGGGGTAATCCCAGCACGGAAGTGCCTCAAGGCCCCTCTGCTGCCAGCACCAGTTGCTCCGGATCCGCTTGCCGAATCCCCAGCACCGGTTGCAGCTGCCTCCTTAGGTTTGGCTGTGCAGGGGGGGTGGAGTAAAACCCTTGCGACCTATGGCTCATGTGCCGGCAAAAGCGCGTGCCATAGGTTCACCATCACTGGCCTAGGCTATAAGAAGATTGCCAAAACCCTGAAACTGAGCTGCAGCATGGTGGCCAAAACCATACAGCAGTTTAACATGACAGGTTCTACTCAGAACAGGCCTCACCATGGTCAACCAACAAAGTTGAGTGCCTATGCTCAGCATCATATCCAGAGGTTGGCTTTGGGAAATAGACGTATGGGTGCTGCCAGCGTTGCTGCAGAGATTGAAGGGGTGGGGGTCAGCCTGTCAGTGCTCAGACCATATGCCACACACTGCATCAAATTGGTCTCCAGGACTGTTGTCCCAGAAGGAAGCCTCTTCTAAAGATGATGCACAAGAAAGCATGCATACAATTTGCTGCAGACAAGCAGACTAAGGACATGGATTTCTGGAACCATGTCCTGTGGTCCGATGAGACCAAGATAAACTTATTTGGTTCAGATGGTGTCAAGAGTGTGTGGTAGCAACCAGGTGAGGAGTAGAAAGAAAAGTGTGCCATGCCTACAGTCAAGCATGGTGGTGGGAGTGTCATGGTCTGTGGCTGCATGAGTGCTGCCTGCACTGGGGAGCTAGCTACAGGTCATTGAGGGAACCATGAATGCCAACATGTACTGTGACATACTGAAGTAGAACATGATCCCCTTCCTTTAGAGACTGGGCCATGGGGCAGTATTCCAACAACGACCCCAAACACCCTTCCAAAACGACCACTGCCTTGCTAAAGAAGCTGAGGGTAAAGGGGATGGACTGACCAAGCATGTCTCCAGACCTAAACCCTATTCAGCATCTGTGGGGCATCCTGAAATGGAAGGTGGAGGTGCGCAAGGTCTCTAACATCCACCAGTTCTGTGATGTCATAATGGAGGAGTGGAAGAGGACTCCGGTGGCACCCTATGAAGCTCTGGTGAACTCTATGCCCAAGAGGGTTAAGGCAGTGCTGGAAAATAATCGTGGCCACACAAAATATTATCAGCATTGGGCTGATTGGTGGACATATTCTGGGAAAGATGTGGAAATTATTCCCTATCACAGCCATATAGAAACATCCATTACTCTGTTGATACATGTGCAGAGTTGCATCACTGAGAACAATTTAAAATAGCTACTTAGTATAAAACAGGAAATGACCTATCCAAACAAGGCAATTCTTCATTCAAGACTTTTTAAAATCTGTGTTTTGCCTTCCCATTTTTTTAAATATGTATTTTGTCCTCCAGACTTCCTTAAAGCCATGTACTTTGTTCTCGATTCCGTTCTTGCTCCCTCCGAGTTGCTAAGAGTTTTTGTTTCTTAGTCTGTCAACATTCCATGTCATTATGTTTTTACAAAGCTGTTTTGAGCCTTCCTCCCTTTCCCTCCCCCAAAATGTTTTGGGGATATGATTCCCCCCCTCCCGCAATTTCTAGTACAGACACCTCCCCTCTGCCAGCAGCTTCACAAGTATAGGAAGGCTTTAACTGAAAACCTTTTGAATTGAGAACCAGTGTGATGCAGTGATGAGAGTGTTGAACTGCAGCTAAGGAGACCTATGTTCAAATTTTAACTCAACCATGAAATTCCTTGGCCCAGTTATTCTCCCAGACAGACCTACCTTCTCTACAGAGTTGTTACAAAGATAAGTGGGAAGGAGGAGAGGCACATATACTGTGTTTAGCTCACTGGATATAATATTATTGTAATTAATAAATAATACAAATGAGCAAAGGGTATGGTGTATTTCCAGTGTTCTGATAAGTTTGGGTATGGGGCATTGTCTTAAGTGTGACTGTAGAAATGGTTTGATGACTGATATCTTGTCCTTGGCTTTTGACTCTTTCATTAAAAGCTACTAATGGGGATTTTTAAAAAGGTTTTCCTTCACAAATAATCTAGACAAATTTTTATTAAATATCTGTTAGGTCTTTGGAGCATAGTTTGCATTGCTCTCGATGAAAGCCCAGAAGTCTTACAGGAAAAGATTGGCTCTGCACTAAATCCAACTGTATTTTGATAGCTTGAAATGTATGCAGGAAAATACCATATAAATAGCAGAGCAGGAAATTCCATTTGATCCAACACTAATTGTCATTTTTGGCTTCACTACAAGGCAGCAGCAGGCACAGAGTGTTTATATTTATATACAGTTTGACTTGCTATCCCTGTTCATGTAGACAAGTTATGGGTGTGATTAAATAATTGGAACTATCTAGTATTTTACTATATCGCTGTATATTAAAGTGAATGTAAATTACATTATCTTGTAAAAGTGATAAATGTTTTTGATCTGTATATGACACAAGAGGTAAAATAGCAATTTCTAGTCTTTTTTCTATAATGTCGTATCTCATCTGACAAAAATAGGATGCCATGTAGACTGTTATTTATTTCCAGACCCTTTGTTCTAATTCATATCCCTAACTTGCCTTTTAGCAGTACAGAAGAGTAAACTGATTCATCAAATGTGCTTTTCATTGTGACACCATACTCTCCTTCCTCACTGATCATATTAATTCACTGTCAACACCCACGTGAAATGTAGCTTAAAGCAATTTTATCATGGTAACTAGTTTATATCACCCTTAAAGTACAGTGGTGCCCCGCATAGCGAGGTTAATCCGTTCCGGATTAACCTTCGCTATGCGGAATCGTCGCTACACGGGTAGGGAAAATGTATTGAAACGCATTAAACTTAGTTTAATGCGTTCCAATACCTTTCTTACTTACCCGTTCAGCGAGGATTCCAATTGCCGGCAGCCAAGTAATTGGTTTATTTCTTATTCACTCCTGATTCCAAATTCTCTTTGTCACTAATAGTCATATTTATATTACATTTTGGTTTTTGTGAATCTGCTTACTTCCAAATTTCAAGGAAGTGTTTTTTTCCACTTTTCATCTTTGTCAAAATGTGTCCCTATTATTGTTCCCACCAGCAATACCACACATTCTGAAGATCTGTAATTTTTCCACCATCAGTGTGACACCATAATGTGGAGGTTTAAAGAGATGAATATATAGACCTATTGTCAGATATAATTCTTAGTTAGATTTCTGGCTGCAGAGCACAGTGGGAGTTCAATTCCCCACTGTGCCTCCTTGACAGGGGCTGGACTTGATGATCCATAGGGTCCCTTCCAGCTCTGCAGTTCTAAGCTGCTGCTGCTGCTGCTGCTGCTGCTGCTGCTGCTTCTTCTTCTTCTTCTTCTTCTTCTTCTTCTTCTTCTTCTTCTTCTTCTTCTTCTTCTTCTTCTTCTTCTTCTTCTTCTTCCTTATCAAACTCCAGTGTAATTACACAAGTAACACATATTTTATTGTTATTCCATTCTGTGTCTCTGGTAACTAGACACAGACATAGAACAAAACAAACAAGAAGGTTCAGATGATAATAAATAGTTTGTTTTTATTATTACTAACAACAACCAATATAACTAGAGATGGACACAGACTGCCAGTTCAGCTATTTGTGCCAGTTCATTTTTTGGACAAACAGGTGTTTGGGACTTCCCAGCCCCACCTCCTCTGGTGGGCTTCCACTCAGACACAGCACCTGCAGGACGTGGGGCTGGAAAGCCAGGACACTGCCTCTGTGTGGGTGCCCGCCAAAGGAGGCATTCAGCTGAAAAACAAACTGCTGAGTCGGCAGCTCATGCCCATCTCTAAATATAACTCTTTAAACAATGACTTAAGGAGGATGGATTGTAAAGTATCATTAAACCTGTTACTTTTGCTACATGAAGCTATATAGGTTCTGTAACGTTTCTAAATTCAGAAAAAGTGTGTCCGTCTGTGCGCACACTGCTGTAAAGAGTTGTTCCCTGTAGTGAAACTATCTTTTTCTGCCAAAGCCCAACTCTAATCATTTGATGACATAACTTTTGTTATTCTGCCTCAGTGAAGAACTTCAACGAACTCGTATTCTAGTTTGTAATTTTATGGTTCAGATTTAGAATATGTAATGAATGATGGAGGGACTTAATAAAGAAAGTAAATATTTAAAAATTAATTTGTATACCCCGGTTATCACTGCTGGACATTAACATAAGTAGATTCCTATTGTCTTTTATAGTTTGCATTTTCAGTGTATTGGACTCAACAAATAGAATGGTTTTCAATCTATATATATATATCTATATTTAAGGTGTTCTTTGTCTCATTACAGCATCATACAGAATCTGTCAGTCCAACAGTGCTGCCACCATCAGCTTTACCATTAGAATTGCTAAACAATGCTGTTGCTGGATTTAGTACTGTGGAGGAACTTATCAGATACCTTGAGCCAGATAGATGGCAATTAGATTTGGAAGACCTGTACAGACCAACCTGGCAGCTCCTTGGAAAAGCATACATTTATGGGAGAAAATCTAGAGGTAATCAATTTCTTATTTTCTCTTTCTTCCTGTCTTTCATGTTTTGCTCAAGTATACAAGAGAGCTCATAGTCAAGTATTCTTCCCCTAATTTATTCATTACATGACTGTGGGCATTATCTTTCAGCTGTTTACTGCTTTCAAATACCTTTTGAAATACTGTGGACTACATGATACTACATTATTATTTTACGTGAGTACTAACATTTATGGGACTTGAGGGGAAGTAAGTCAGAGTGCAGGACACGCAACAATGGAATCAACTTAAAGGAAGCCAGATTTCAGTTGAATATCAGGAAAAACTTCCTAACTGTTAGAGCAGTACAACAGTGGAACTGGTTACCTCATAAATTGGTGAGTGCTCCAACACTGGAGGCATTCAAGAAAAACTTGGATAATCACCCGGCAGATATGCTTTGATTGTATTCCTGTGTTGAGTAGGGGGTTGGACTTGATAGCCTTGTAGACCCCTTCTAACTTCACTTTTCTATGATTCTGTGATTGTGATTGAGAAACAATTGTATCTTATATGGTACCTGATGCAGAGAACTAGGAACACAATTTTGTATCAGAAAAATTGACTAGGATTATTCTGATTATTCACAATCGATAATGTAAGTGCCTGTTCAAACTCTCAGTCAAACATTCTTATTCTGACTCTCAAAAAAAAAAAGTAGTGACCACTTGCTTAAATGGCTTTTGATGAAGGGAATATGCATCATAGGCTACAAGCTTGTCACTTAGCAGAGTGTAATCCCTATTGAATTTAACAGGAGAATAGTGTGCTGGGTGCTGTGAATGGATTAAATGCTTCTTAGTCTGCTGTTAAATATAGTTAAAATAAATCTAAATGCTATCGACTAGTAGGGAGAGAAATTGCTTTTTAGGGCGCAAAAAGTGGCAAGGTAGGAACACAGCTGCATTAAACCTCCAGGGCAGATTGTTCTACTACTGCTCTTCTATCGTATCTAACACAATAATCATGTCATTTAGGTAAGGAGGCAATTACATTGTTGAATCAATACAGTTCAAGTTGCATGTTAAAACCTGTTTTCTTACCTACACAGAATATTGGAAGAGTTTGGTTTGCTTTCTGTTTTAATTTAGTTAAAGACAAAATCTGCTTTAGATGCTGGGCACTGCTACATAATATCAGTATAGGACTACTTAGAAGTAAAGCCCATTCTATTTAGTAGAGCTGACTCCCAGGGAAGTTTGTGAAGGGTTGCAACATTAAAAGGTTTCCCATTTATAGTGGAGATGTAGACAGTTCTTTCAGTGTTTCCCACAGAGCTCTTTCCTAATTCAGCTGTTCTGTTCTTTTGCCTGTTAGCTGGCTTGTATGTATGTCTTAAACTAATTGAAGCACATTAACATTTATGTAAAACCAGTTCCATTGCAGCAATTATTTCCCACTGCCATCACCCCCAAGGAAAACACTTTTGGAATATTTTTTTAAAAGCATTCTAATTAGACACTACATAAAAGTGCTATTGAATAAACACATCAGGGTATTAGTACATCAATCTTAAAAGGACCACCCTCAGACTGCATTAGTAAGTTTGTAATGCAGTAGCCTAAGGTGAAAAATGTGTCCAGTTGTGATGACATATTAACTGTTGACATACAGATTTTTTTTACAGAAATGAAATGCATGATTTTTTAAAAATATAGCATGGAGCTTTTAAAGAAAATTCTCAATGAAGAGAGTAATTTGGGAAACCTGAAAGTTTCAGTTATGCTTTTGGTTTCAAATATAATTTTTTTAGATTGACTTTTTAATATTTTGTGTTTAAAGAAGTATCAAGAAACCTGATAGAGTTATGCTGATCATGTGCATATATATGCCTATCTTTGCTGTGTAACATTGGAAATGCTGGAAAGTAGCATGAATGGTGCTACCCTTGTAGTGGGTTAATTTATGCTTCTTTCAGAATTTGTAAACGGCCAGAATCATACAGTGTACATGTATTAAAATCTAGATGCATTAAAATCGAAGCATTTCCAAGGAAGCAGCACCAACAAAAAGACATTTTCACATTTTTAAGACTAACACATTTTATTTGGAATGAACTCTGTGGAAGTAATCCACTTCTTCAGATACATAGGGTACAAGTTAAAGATTTATACACTCAAGAGATTTTGGTTATAGATTGGGACAGAGTGAAATGAGATGCAGAAAATGACAATTGTATTACTAACATGGGTCATAAACCTTCAGTGGTCTGGTTATGACCAGTATGCAATATGTGACTTCTGTTAATAATACAGTTGTCATTTTCTGTTACTTCATTCTGCCTCACTTTCATAACCAAAACCATAGGACATAGAAACCTGTGCTTTGAATATTGCATTCCTTGCACATGAAGAAATGGGCTTTGTCCACAGAAACTCATGCCAAATAAAACTTCTTAGTCTTTAAAATTTGCCATGAGGTTTTGTTCATAATCATTAGTACAGACATTTAAAAATTAGTGTCCTTTTTCAGTCTGAATGAGATTAGTACCGGCAAAGTCCAAATGTTATGCTGTTAGCATCTCTTTTCCTGGTTAAACATACTCCGCTCCCTCCATCATTCATCAGAGGGCTTGATTTTCACACTTATTACAACTTTGTCACCTTCCTCTGTATACCTTCCAGCTTGTCTCTATTCTTCTTAAACCGTGGTGCTGAAAAATGGACATAGTATTGCAGTTCCAATCCACAGTATTCTATAATAATCAAAGTTCTTATAGAAACAAAAGCTAGACACTTTCGATCCAGTGTTCCTATGATGCAAAACATCCTTTTTCTAATTTGCTGAAGTATAATGCTTGTCATCTCCAGTCAGCACGGTGATTGACTGGGCTGATTTGGGATGCTAAATATTGCAGTCCAGCTTATCTTCAGGGACCAAGTTGGGAAAGGCCAATGCACCATTTACAGTGGGCAACAAAAACACTAGCATATTCAGAAACTCCTCAAATAAACCTTTTTGATATTAGCCCTAACTGAATACATTTGATAAATTGACGTTTCTGTTGGTTTATTCTCACTGAAGCTTTTATGGATTTCACTAGAAGACTTTTAGTTTTGGTAATCAAATTTTAATAAACGTTTTTATTTGAAGCCATGCATTTCCATGTTTGGTTTGGATTGGCTTTTCAGGTAATAGCTCTGAATCATGGTCTTACTTTGGCACTGCAAACAACGCTGTGTTCTTTCTGAAGTTATTCTAAAAAAGGTCTTTGACTACTGTGTCAAACTTGATGAATGAAAGGGAGCCCAGTTCAAAGGGTGTTTAAAGTTTCACATTATAATAGGTTTGGTAGATGAATCCATTTTGTAGATCCATATAACCTTTTCTTTCAGTTAAGTAAACATTTTAATGGAATATATATACATTTTCTCATCTTGTGTTTTGTCCTCCAGTGTGTTAAAGCGCATTTTCGGTAACACAGATATGGTATAGAATGGAGGGATGAAGGGATTTTTCCACTTCAAAGACTAGATTACACAAGCAGTATGTGAAACACTAGGCAACTTATTCATCTAAAGTATAACACTGTGAAAGGGCAGATATTGTAGCATCTTACAAGGTGATGGCATCTAATTTTCTGAACCCAAATAATTTTCTGTAAACTCTTGAAACGGGGCCAAATTCTGGAGATGTTATGATTTAGGGAGTGAGTGCTGCCAAACCCTAATTTAAGACTCATGAGTTGGAATGGTATAGGGCATTTTTAAAAGTCTAATTTGAACTGAAAACTCATAGTCATTGCTGTTGGGAAGTTTTCCATCAACCAGCCAAACGGAAAGTCACCATATTGGATTGAGCCATGAACAGGCTTACTTCCGTAGGCCCACATCTTAAGCAACTTCTAGTCTCAATAGGATAGCTCTATTCTTAAACTGATGAACAGTTCAAAAAATCCGACAAATTCAGGTACTTCCTTTATGCTGGCCAAGTAAACCATTAAGTTCAGATACTCTTGTCAAATTCATAAATGTTTCAGACCCTGCGTGTTTTGCTTGATGAGGATACTACTCTTGAGGATTTTCTTAAAAATAGCTGGACTGTCCTGATACCTTATTATATTTTAAGTATGCTTTTATACATTCTTTTAGTGTTTTTAGATTTAATGCAATTGCTGTTTTTTTAAACTAACTGAATAATTTGTTGTGTTTTTAAATCATACTTGTATTTTGATCGCTATAAGCCACCTCGAGCCCCTTTATGGGGAAAAAGTGCATTGAAATAATGTAATAATTAATCAGTTTATATATTTAAATTAAATTAAAATAACATTGTCATAGTCTCGGAATACATTGTGATATTTCAAACTTATTTCCTGTACAAATCTCAGCAAGCACTGGCCTTCTGTAACCCACCAACTTCATAGCAAAGCATTGTTGACTGATCTAGTTTGCATATCACATGAATAGAATTCTGAGAAAATCCTGGCTTGTCATTCATGAGCAACATACAGTACTAGTATGGAAGTGGCTAAACAAAGTACAGACCTACGATTTGGTTTTTTTGTTTGTTTGTTTTTGTTTTTTTACAACAAGGATCAGCAACATTCAGGCTGCAAGCTGTTCCAAATGGTTTTGTAGCTTCCATAGGCCCTTCATCATTTTCAGTTGTATAGAGCACTGGTTCTTACCCTTGGGTTACTCAGGAGTTTTGGACTGCAACTCCCAGAAGCCTTCACCACCAGCTGTCCTGACTGGGGTTTCTGGGAGTTGCAGTTCAAAAGCATCCGAGTAACAAAGGTTAAGAACCACTGGTATAGAGTACTGGTTCTTAAACTTTGTTACTCAGATGTTTTTGGACTGAAACCCCCAGAAGCCTTCACCATCAGCTCTGCTGGCTGGGGTTTCTGGGAGCTGCAATTCAAAAACACCTGAGTAACAAAGGTTAAGAACCACTGGGATAGAGCCTCTGCCCCATCAGCAGCAGCAGCAGCAGCTTTGGATGTTTTGGAAGTGAATTGTGCACCCAGAACTCTCCCTGGAAGTGCGTTTTTACTCTTGAAACAAGGCATGCAGCTCTCTTGTGCACCTTGGGGGGGGGGAATGGTTTAATAACAACTGGAAATGGTTCCTGCTGGGCTGCTGGAGGGGGAAGGACTATGCACAACACAATGGGGAAAGGTGAAATTAGTGTCTGGACCCACTTCTGTAATTTATCTTGACGTTAAAACAAAGCAGGAACCAGCACTATGGCTTGTCAGTTTCCCAGCAAGCCAGAGAAAAGAACAATGATTTTTGCAATGATTTTTGAGTGAAGCCTGGACCTACGTATCTTAAAAAGTGATTGCTGTCTACTTAGCCCCTTGCCATGGGAGTAATTAGCCAGCATTTATCCATTCACCAATACATTTTAACAAGCCTGAATTCTTTAGAAAACCTACCTTTAACCTGGACCGGATATTTTATTGGTCAGGGTTTTTAAATCAGAAAATGGTGTTACCAGATTATTAGTATTTATATTGAACATTCGCATTTTCAGTAATCCACTAATGGCCTGGTGTGGAGACTTGATGCCACTTGTTGCATTGCCTTCACTGTTAACAGAAATGTACACTGAGACAACTGAATGAATAAGTGACAATAAACATTTTTTTTAAAAAAAAATAATTTATCCAGGTGTAGATTTGAACCTTTTAAAGGAGGAGGTGCGACTGTATAGCTGTACTCCACGCAACTTCTCAGTGTCACTGAGGGAAGAGCTGAAGCGAACAGATACAATCTTTTGGCCGCTTTGTCTGCTAGTGAAACGTTGTGGTGGAAACTGTGCCTGCTGTCAGCATTCATGTGCAGAGTGCCAGTGTGTTCCCACTAAGGTCACCAAGAAATACCATGAGGTATAGTGATTCTTCAAAACTTTGTTTGAAAAATATGGCCATAGAAGAGTATCTATAAGAAATTTCCAGGGGGTGAGTTAATGTAAGAACAACACTCTTTTGTGCCATTGTTTTATTTGCACCAGTTTATTTGATCTAAGATGTTGTAGGTTCTACACAACTTCATCAGATCCATGAAGTGATGCCATGGATATTTATACTAAATAAAAATTCACATTACTGCAAGAATCTTTATGTATTAAATTAGAGGCTATCATAGCACCTTTGTTGGGACTAAACAGTGTTCACATGGCTATATTTGAGATTTCAGGTTACATATCTCTTGGAGATTAGAGGTGCTGTTTGAATATGATTACAGTGGTGCCTCGCTTAACGATTGCCTCGTTTAGCGATGAATTCGCATAACGGTGTGTTTTTTTGGAAAATAATATGCACCGCATAACGATGTTTTTTTAGAAAATAATACGCACCACATAATGATGTTTCCTATGGGTTTTTTTCGCTTAACGACGGCAATCCATTCCAATTGGAACGGATTGCCGTCGTTACGTGACAAATACCATAGGATACATCGCTACGCGGAACAATGTTTCCTCCATTGGAATGTATTGTAGCTGACTCAATACATTTCAATGGCTTTGCGAAGTCAATTTTTGCAATTTTAAATGTGTCATACGAGGGGCAAAAATGGGTTTAAATGCTTGGAATAGCTTCTGCACCTTCTAAAACGGGTGCAAATGTAATTTGGCTTAGATCTGACTTTTCGTTAATTTAGGGTGAATTTTTTCCCTCCAACTTTTGACAGCTGTCAAAAGTTGGGGGGGAAAATTCACCCTAAATTAACGAAAAGTCAGATCAAAGCCAAATCAGGTTTGCACACGACTTAGGGGGTCCTCTAACGAATCCAAGCATTTAGAACCGTTTTTGACCCTTCTAAGACACTTTTTTAATTGAAAAAAAAACATCATTAAGTGAAGCAGGGGACCTAAAATCGCATTCGTTATGCGAAGCATGGTCCCAAACTTCGCTAAGCGAAAATCGCCCATAGGAAACATCATTATGTGGTGCGTATTATTTTCTAAAAAAACATCGTTATGCGAATTCATCGCTAAACGAGGCAATCGTTAAGCGAGGCACCACTGTATTATGTTAGGCCAATGCAGAGATTTGGAATATTAATTTTTTTTGGACTTCAGTTCCCAGAATTCCCTAGCCAGTATGGTCTTGCCAGCTGGAAGTTTCCGAGAATTGTATTCCATAAAATAACTGTTCCAAGCTCTGAGCCAGTGTGACTTCAGATTTTGGGAGTCTACAGGCAAAATTATTTTCGTCTTTGACCCATTGCTACTATCTTTCTAGAGAGATGACTCTCTCTAGAAAGATAGGTAGCAACAGCTACCTATCTTTGTTCCTCCCTTCCCGGACAAATCATGGCGAAGCCAACAGGCAGCAAAAGCTAAAACAGCAGCATGAATCACTGGACTCTCAGTATTTCTGAAGATAACCTTCATCTTTGTAAGCTTAACATAACAATAGATTACTGGCATCCCCATTTCTGTAGCTGAGGAATAGTTGACAAATAAATCTCTATTTGACTAGAGCCTGAATTCATGTAGATTTTGGACAGACCTGCATGTCTGGATCACTAGCTGTGACAGAATGCCCACGTCACTCCTGTCACTCATAGCTGAAGCTCAAGTGCGGGATCCTATGAGAGGACAGGAGGGGCGGAGTCAGTTAGGCAGTTAGAGAGGGAGGAGTTGGAGTTAGGGGAGAGAGAAGAAAAAAGAGAATGAGAGTGTGGAGGAGAGAAATTGAATAGTCAAGATAGATAGAGAACTTGAGAGAACTGATATTATTTAAAAGTTGTTTAAAGTGAATGAATCAATAAAACAAATGAAGAATTGAATGTGTAGCCAAAGATAATGAGTGATTCTATACAATGATTAAAAAGAACATCTGTGATCCAAACTCAATTTAAATAAACAAGTTATGTTGGCAGCAAGTGTCTGATTCAAATATTGGGCAAGTGTGAATAAGGAATATTCACTCGTTATGTTGGCAGCAAGTGTCTGATTCAATATTGGGCAAGTGTGAATAAGGAATATCCACTGGTGGCAGCGAATCAAAGAGAAAATGTCGCCAGAATGAACCTTGGTTTAGGGGAAACAAACAGGTTACACTGGGTGGAACATCACACTTGCCTTTGGTTAAGTAGTAAGAATAGAATTTTCAAAATGAACAAGTTTTTATGGCATTTTAAAAGTGTATTTAACTGTCCCCCTTGCAGGTTCTTCAACTGAAACCCAGGAATGGTGTAAGAGGATTGCATAAATCTCTGACGGATGTACCATTAGATCATCATGAGGAATGTGACTGTGTGTGCAAAGGACATACAGAAGGGTAATAGGAACTAGATGTGCTTCTTTCTTGTACAGCACATTCAGACAGCAGCTGATTCTGTTTTGGGGCTTGTGCATTAATTTCCCTCTGTAATCTCAGTTTGTTTTGAGAATCTTCAGTCTTCAGGATTGACAGTTTTTGGAGAACAAAGAGAGATGAGCTCCAGCTGTGCATTGTAACAGCATGGTTACCTGAAGACCCGTTCTAAGGATGAGCAGAAAGCATCAATGAGGGATTTTTTGTCTCCAAGTAAATATACATGCATAATATCATCTCTCAGTCATCTTGAATTTTTTTTAAAAAAATTAAATTTATAAGTAGAGGAAAAGGCAGTACTGAAACAAAGCCTGGACTTTTCTGGAGGTCTTGTTTCTCTTGGTCTGTTACTTCTAGCTCAGAACATCTGGAATCTCTTTTAAGTCAACTCAACAGCTCCTGCATGTTCTAAATCAAAGTGTTAATTGTCTTACAGACTGTCTTATATTGAATTAAACTTAATTTTTCACTCATACAAATAGAAAATAATGGACACTTTCCGGTGAAGTGCCTGTTGTTATAGCAACTCTTGAATTGGTCAGTGTAGGTAAGCAAGGATGGAAAGTTTTATATCAGGAAGTGGTTTTAGTCTTCTTGCTATGGCGTACAAGTACTTTTGTTTGTTTATATTTTTATTGTGTACATTTTTATATTCTCTTTGGCAGCATAACTGTTTGCTTCTCTAATCTTGTTAAATATATCTGTCTTTTTTTACCAAAGGTATTTAATGTTCTTTTTAAAATATTATTATGGCCTAGATAAACTACTTTTTTAGTTTTCTAAGATGTTGAAGTCAGAGATATAGAAAAGGGGAAGAAAGGACTACTGTTTCTACACGGCATGGAACTAAATAGTGCATGTGCACGTTAAAAAAGGTAAATAAGGGAGATGAAAATATTCATGCGAATTTCCGGTTGTAGGTAACTGGGTCTATTATGTTGGTACAAAGCTGAACATAATAGTTGTAACAGTCCTCCTCTTCAAAAAAAAAGTGCCTTGATCCAGACAAGGAGGTCTGTACACAGAAGCAGGTTTCAGCATGATAAATAGATAAATATAATTTGTCATATCAGGAACCATTGGCATAAATCTGATAGACGTTAGAATACACAAGAAGGCAGAAGTCTACACACACTGCGTTTTCAATGGGTTTTGTATTCTGGTACATTTCTGGTACATTTACCTTATGTATAGTATCATGTTTACATGTGACTAGTGAAGGAGCAGGATGCAGTTGTTTTAATCAAGAATCCAAACTAGAGATGCCTGCTCTGTCTTGCCACCTTATTCTATGCAGTTGAATATAAGATAGCTTGCCTTCTGGTAAATACAATTCGGATGCCGTCCTGCTTCATTGTTAAATTAAAAAGTGAGAAGATCCTGACAAGAGCACTACCACCACTGATATTTCAGTGTGTTCTTTCCTGCAGAATACACTTGTTCCTGTAAAAGATACATCTATTTATTGCTATAGGTGTAAGGTTTTTTTTAAGAAATATATTATTATTATTGATGGTTATTTCTTCATAAAAACAGTGGGCTCCCAATATTTTAATAATGTATAATACATTTTCATGAAATGTGGTTTTGTTATGTACAGTCTATGTAAACCAGTACATTTGTATCATCTTTTGCCAGCAGGGAAAAAGCAGTAAAATATTTTGCTTGTAAAATGCTTTAACATTCTGATGTGTGTTTTTTGTGTTTCTGTTTACTGTTTGGACTTAAATATTTAAGAACTCTACAAAGTGGTTGCATTAATTAGGAGTGAAAGGAAATGCCATTGATCAGAGTGGTTCATGGTGTTAGGGAGGGTTGAGGGAAGTCTCATTTCAAAGTTTTAAGATGAAGAGTGACACCTGCTTAGAGCACAGCTCAGCAGTACCACTGATATCCATGTATGGCACTTAATAACCTTCACTTAAAAATGTATATATATATATATTTGCAGTCCATTCTGTCATACACCATTTTTAAAGGTGAAAGATAAATACCAACTAAGCATTACAGGAATAAAATATGACATGTTTTTAGGTGGTTGTTCATTCTAATTCATATGTTCAGTACCTGTTAAGAGCTAATGGGGGAGAGACCTTCGGGTAGTGTGGGTGGCATATAAGTTAAATAAATAAAATAAATGCATTATGTTTCTCTTTGAACATGCTGACCTTTTGGCAGTCCTTACTTTGTTGCCATACCACCACCATTACTGAAATCTGCCACTGCCAAAACTACTTTATTCATGGTCACCATATGCTTGATGATGAGAATTCTGAATTTTGTTTCTTTTACTATATACTGATGGATGCACTGTGTTGTAGTGGCATAAGTTATCCATGTGGAATATAGTAACATTATACATTTTTGCTCCCATCCCTGAAAAATTCCTGTGGACACCCATGCGCTTCACCATTAGTTCAGCAAAACTCTTGGACTGGCCATTAGGCTATTTTCAGGATGTTTTTTAAAAATGGAGAATTAAGCTTCAGAATCATTTGGGTGCTTCTAAAAATGGCATTCAATAGTAGTATGTTCTAGTGATTTCTGTGGATTAAGCAAATAATCCCTGAAGAAGAGCTGGAAAACTTTAAATGCACTGAAACAGGTGCATTTAATCGTTTTCACCACATTTTTGAAGCCTCCTCATCCATCTTTATGCTGTTACTTCCCTTCCTATGCACATTCTACTTTGTTTGGAAAACCAACAAAAAGCTCACAATTTTATATGAATGTATACTATATTAAAGAGACTCTGTAACACTTGCAGCATCAAAACTCCATAGTGTGGGTTTTCCATAGAATCATAGAAAATTGAAATCTAGCAACTGTTAAGGATATGATATCAGCACTTACAATAAAAGGTAGTATAATGGTGCAAATAAGAGCACTGATTGATTCAGTATTTTATTAGCATTATCCCTGATAGCAAGCATTAGGCAATATATAAATCTAAAAATAATGAATAGACATTTGTAAAAGAATGTTCTACTTTTATCAATAAGCAAATATAGTAGCAGCTTTGGAACTTAATCAGTATTTCTGCAATTTTTTGTATTGTCTTGAGTATTTTCCAGTGAAAATGAATTTCAACATTTCCAAATATTTCCACATTTACAAAGTTATGAATTATTACTGGAAGTTATGCTTTTTTTTGTGAGTCTGAGCATTGAGTTGCCTTGTGATATGATAGCTACTGAAAGGCTTTGCTTCAGTTTTGCTCCCAGTATCCTTCTAATGTTTTATATATTCTTTGTTAATCATTACTGTAGAGTTAAAGATAAGAATGTGAGATTACAGCAGCACAACCGGATAGCCAAGAAGTAATGCCTAGAAAAAAATAATCCTATGTGAAATCACCTCATTATTTTTTCGACCTGGCTCAGGTTTCTAGAAGGAGAGACATGAAGGGTTGCCAGATAACATCCTGAGTAATCCTACTTCCAACGGAAAATAGGACAACTCAGAAGAAAGGAAGTACAGGGAGCAGTTCTAGAGCAATGAAAACCACTTTTTTAAAAAGAATTCGTGACAGTTACAGGAAAGGCCTACAAAAGAGGTTATACTTTTGTGCTGTGTACCATATTGTCATCTGAGCCCCTGCACATGGTTCCCTTGATCAACTTTTGTGCCAAGTAAACTTCTTCCTCCATTGCCTTTTGCTGCTATCAGGGATAATGCTGAGGCCATACTCCCATAATTACTGGAATCACTAAAAAAATGTACAGTTGCATTGCAAAAGGAGGCAAATTATCCCTTGTAAGTTACAATTGCAATGTTGTGTCATTTTGCCTTTGTTGCTGTAAAAAGGAAATAATTACAAAGTCCTGAAGTAGTTACTGTAAAATAGGTCAGCCCTGTATGGAAACCCATCTGTTATTCATCATGGTCTCTGTGAATCACACATGTGAGTGTTTCTGCACCTGTGTAAAACCTCATTGGAATATTCTGGATCTCAGAGGAAAAAGACCATTAGGGTATTCTCTCCTCCACTGGCACCTGTGTAAAACCTCATTGGAATATTCAGAGGAAAAAGACCGTTAGGGTATTCTCTCCTCCACTTCACATCTCCCTGTGCCTGACACTTATCCTCAGTTCCTTTTAGCCACTTCTCAGAATGTGTCTCTAGTGCACTTTATACCTTAAAACCTACCTTTGTCATCACCATTGCCCTCCCTTGGTTGTTTAGAAATCTTCCTGTGAATTCCTCCTTTTAAAAAAAGTGTTAGTATTTGTTTGTCATTTGCCTTCATCCTCTAGGACTTTCTCTCCCTTCTATACCCGCAGCAGACCCTTTCAAGAAGTGTTGAGGGTGTTGACACTGAAGGACATTCTACTTCTCTATCCTTTACCTCTTCTGTATCTCAGAACTATCATGGCTTGTCAACAAGGATGGAAACTCAGGGACATGCTACCCAGAATCACCTTCTCATCTAAGAGGACACCCCATTACTGGCAAAACACATCAGAAAAGACCAAGCACCCTTCCAAACAGGAAGCTTGGTTTTGAAGGATATACCTACCCAAATGCCTTCCAGAACTGGGAAACGTCCAAAAATTACAAAACCATCTGTAAGATGGTTACATATCATTGTTACTGAAGATTCTGCTTCTACCAACAGACTCCGATCCTGATTTACAAAAGGACTCCTCTTTCATTCTAGTCACCACTCCTAAATACAAAATGGGAGATGTCCACCCTTCTTCTCCATTGGATGATTTCTGCTCCTACTCAGATATAATGCTCAGGATGGCCAAGTCATAAAGTTAGAGGTCCATCGGCCACCTCCACCCAGGTCAGATCCACTTTACAACCAGATTAATAAGGACATTAGTACTCCAGACCATATTGATGTGTTGCCATCCTTGCTTGATTTAGTCAATCATTCCCGATATAAACCACCATTATCATTGCAACCCACTTCTGAATGAGTGGAGAACTTGTACAAGATTCATGACAAGGATGCCTCATACCTCCTTAAACAATCCCAACTGAATTCCATAATCATGTAGGCATCCTAAACAAGAACAAGAGGGCACTATAACACCACCCCAATAATAAGGATGATTGTAAAATAGATGCATTGAGAAGGAGGATGTCCTCTACTGCAGCCCTTGTCATACACAAAGCCAACTACCAGAGTGCTATGGGAGCTTACTAGAGGTTACTCTGGGGGAAAAAATCCAGCCACTCATCAACAGTATGCCAGGTGAAAAGAGAGTTACAGTATTTCCCTAACCTTTCAAGAAGAAGCTATGTCTCTCACCACTCAACAAAAGACATCTGCACAACATGAAGTACACTTTGCTTACTTAAATATTATCATTCATTTGGGCCATTGCTGCTTCCTACATTTCATGGTGGGCAAGTGTATCTACCAATTCAAGGTGCTCCCGTTTGATCTTTCCACAGCACCCAGGATTTTCGCAAAGCTCTGGGGCATTATGGTGTTCCCTTGTATAGACAACTGGCTGATAGTGGCCAGTTCCAAGGTCAAGATAGAGACAGATGACCTATTCACACTTCACCTGGTGGTGAAACTCTGTCTTTGCACATATCTAAAAAAAATCCAGTTTAAAGCCACATCAGAAGGTTCATTACATTGGTGCATTGCTGGACTTCACAAGTACGAGAGGCTACATACCAGAAGATAGATTGAATAAGTTAATACCTTGACAAATGAATTCAAATCAGGTGGAACAGTCTCAGTTCTCACAGCATAAAGACTTCTTGGCCTCATGATATCTACAGTGCCAGGACTACTGCACATACACATGTAAAAATTACAGTAGATCTCTTCAGGCTTGGTAAATGTCAAACATATTTCCCCAGAGCAGGTTGAGGGAAAGATTCTCTAGGAGATGTCTTCATAACTCATTGGTCCAGGGATGTTCTCTACCTCTTCCTGCCTGTTTCCTTACTGCACAGGCTAATCTATTGCAGCTCAAAGCAACAATTTCAATAATTGTTTATTGTTTACTGTCTATTATTGGATATTTTTATTTTGCTATATGTATATGTTTTTGCATTTTTACCTGTCTGGAAGCCGACTAGAGTGGTCGTATTGACCAGATAGGCGGGGTACAAATAAAATAAATAAATAAAAAATAATAATAAAGCTTTGCCAAGAGAAATCCAATGTAATCTTGATAACTCTGTGGTGACCATGCCAACGCCAATGCTAAAATTAATGTCCACATTTATCACCCACCCCAGTTCCTCATTTACTGGAAACAAGGGAACAATTCACCATCCAGATGTAGTCAGGCTGAGACTGACAGCATGGAGAATTCTCAAATATTAAGAAGGATCATGCACAAATTCAGGAAACAATTTACTAGATCTAGCTACAGATACAAATGGTGGAAGTTCTCTTCCTCCAATCAATCAGAAAATCTGAGCTGCAACATTTGTTAGACACGGTGTTGCATTTTATCCTGTATCTAAAAGAGAATGGCTTATCTCATTCTATCATCAAGATCTATTTGTCTGCCATAGTGATAGTACAACTTCCTGGCTCCAAAGCATGACAATACTTCAGAAATACAGTTCTCAAGAAATTCTTACAGCGTCTGCAGCTTTTTTAGATATCCACAGCTAATAGCTCCTTTCTCAGCACTTTTGCTACTGGCATCCATG